GAGAAGGTGTATGTGGGCCGTAGGCAAATAGAAACGGAGATTTCTATGGACTGATTAAATTATAATTTTTCTTCGATGTATTAAAAGAAGAAAAACACGGATGTGTCGCAGCTGTACTTTGGTGATGATGATCATCATCATTCAGCGAATAATTGTTAGTGTGAAATATCAATTAAACGAAGGAGAAAAAGATCAAACAAGTGAACTCATCATTGAAGTTGAAATGCGTTGACTTTTCAATATAAATAGATTTCAATGTTGTTTACCACTATTGATCTACGCATCGATAGATGATAAGACAAACACTGTCGAACGAAAAGGTGTTGTGTGTATCGACTTATCGAATATAACAATCTCTCTTCTTCTGAAGAGAGAGAGTGAGAGCGAGAGTAAGGATAGACATGAAACAAACTAATGGACAGCTATTAGACACTTGACGAGTCAGAAGAAGAAAAAGAAACGAGACAATCTTTATCCAACGCATTTGTGTGAAGCACACACGTTAATTTGACACTTTTTCAATCTGATCTTTTGACTTGAAGATCGTTTTAATATACATTTATATTTTTCACAACAAAATACAAAAAAAAATCGAATTGACAAAGAAAAGAAGAGAGAAAAAGAAAAAAAAGAAGTGTTTTGGTTGAATGAAATATTTTCATAGAGTGTTTTCCGAGAAAGTCTATTTCGTCGGTGAACAACTAGTTGATGAGGAATTTGGAGATGACAAAGAATTTCTCGAATGATCCGAGGAATGTGATGGCGAACTTGTCGATTGTGGAGGATACAATAAATATGGTATCGAAGGTGTTATGTATGGATGAATGATGTGTGCTGCTGCTGTTGTTGTTGTTGATGATGATGATGATGAAGACGATGAGGATGATGTTGAAGATGGGTTTGTGCGTTTAGTTTCATTCGATTGAACAACATCGACAAGCGACCAAATCTTCGGACGGCTTGTTGGTGGTGGTTTAAATGAACTAGTTTGATTATCATCGTCATCGTCATCACGTTTGCGTTTTGAATTACTCGAACTTGCTGGTTTTACTGTTTGTTCTTGATTGATAGCAACATGAGAGTCATTTTCATTCTCATTTTCATCATCATCGACATCATCATCGTCACAATCGTCGTCATCGTCTTCTTCTTCTTCTTCACTTTTACTATTATTCGTTGTTCGATGTAGTTTGTTTTCTTTTTTCAAACGTCGCCGTGCGTTAGCGAACCACGTTGACACTTGTGTCAATGTCATTTTTGTTACCATGGCTAAGACCATTTTCTCATTCTTGGTTGGATACGGATTTTTTCGATGTTCATAAAGCCATGCTTTAAGTGTCGCTTTAATAATAAAAAAAAGAGAAAGACAATCAACAACTGATCATGATGAATATATCTGGAGAGAAAATGATCCCATCCACTTAAAGCGGCTCAAAGGAATTTAATCAAATGTTTTTTAATGCGTTTTTTCTTGTGGAAAAACAGGGAGACACTAGAGGAATGTAACGTATGCAATCGATCTGCATATCAAACGAGATGAGATTTTTCGGTTAGTCACGTCTTTTTTTGTCATCAAGCAACTAACTGACGCGTCCGCGTTTTTTATATGATGATGAGAAACAAATAATAATGATGATATTGACTTATGGGAATAAACACGTTTGTCATTAACTTACCCGTTGTTTCGCGTGTTGCGTTTTTTCGTTTGTGATTTGGATCATTAAGGCTAAAAAGAGATTAGAAAAAAGGACATTGTACAATCTGCGATTGTTGAACTACAAAGGGTTTCTTACGCTAAATTGTAATAGAAAAATGGTTGCATTGTCGGATCCATCCACGAGTTAGGACGATACAGATTAGGTGGCAGTTTTGGTGCGGTGTTGATTAATGATGGCATCATCGATAGATGAGAGTAGAATGAAGAAATTTCGACAGGGTTGTTTGTAAGTGAACTCATATTTTACCTATCTAAACGAGATGAAAATGTCTAATAGAGAGAGCACGAGAGGTGGGTCTTGTCTATTTTTTTTTGCATGTAAAAATGCATGTCGAACAACAGTAAGAGCAAATCGGATGTATGCATTTTCTCTCTTATTAGAGCGAGAAAAAAGAGCGAAAGAAGAAAAATAGAGAGAAGACCGACAACATCGCACATAAAAAGAGAGAGAAAAAAAATGTTCTCAAGTGACCAATAGGAAATTTTCTCTCTTTCTTATTGCTTACTACCAATCTGTTTGTTCGACGGGGGCAAATTAAATAAATGAGCCGAAAAGAAAAAAAGAAGCTCACTATACCGTGACTGCCTTCATAATAGTATCGATTTGCAAACACCTCTAGTTTTTTCTTCGTTTGCATCGAGAAAAAATTAGTATACATGTTCTACTAGCTCCCGTTTTCGGTTTTTTTTTCGTGTCGTATTAATAGCTTTTATTACGTTACCTTGTGATCAATTGTGTTAGATGACATATAACTATTTCAATAGTTAATGACTTGAAGACGAGAAAAAAACGGAAGGATTTCGGTGTAGAACAAATAAGATACAGATATAAGGTGTCAATAATGTGTTTATGTTAATACAACAGCGTATGAGTGTGTGAATGATTCATTTGATGTTTTGTCTCTGGGACTTGTCTTGCGATCGATCATCGATCGATTATGGAAAGCACACTTTCATGATTACCTTGAATATGATCGTTGATATTTTCAAAGGATTGAATACTTATTCGAATCAACCAATCAGTCAAGTGAATCGAGTGTTTTGCATTTAACGAACTGAATTTTTCCGTAGGAATGTGAAAGTAAACGTTTAAATGAATATTTAATTTTTCAAGATGATTAGAGTGAAAGCTGATCTTTTTCAAATGAGCACGGAACGAGAGAACAAATCAATACATCATAAGTCTACAATTAGATTGTTTCTCCATATTCGTCACACGCGTTTCTACACTTCAATTTCGTAATAATGCACACAACAGGAGTGAATGTTTCCTCATCGATCAAATTCGACATGCTTTTTCTTTCTCCTTCTCTCTGAGAGATCGAACTGGCAAGGTTCATTAGTTGAAGAGAAGAGAAAACTTCTCATTGTAAGATTAGCGAGAGTGTGATGTCATTCCAAATCGATCTTTTTCCTCTTGAAAAAATATCGACATATCAATTGTTTTCGATGGGAAAACGACAAGCACATAACGATCATTACAAAAGCAAAATCTTCAAGCTATTAATTTCTCGTTTGTTCTAACAGACATATATGCAAACACTGCAGTGCACTGCATGATAGCGACGTCTATAGTGAAATAATGAAGAAAATAATGAATATGGACGTTGATATTTTTTGATTGAGAAAAAAAGATCAATGAATGGATATGTTGTTTTGAATAATTTCAAGTTGAGAGAAGAAACCTTTTCGAAGGCACTAAGGAATAATTTGACTACGGATTTGAGGATGAATCATTTCGTTAGTAGATTTCGAAATTTTATGCGGGTAGAAAGACAAGTTTCGCTTTTTCTTTGCAGATTTTTTTTTGTTTTTTCTTACTTTCTATGCGTGAACAAATGGTTTTGGACGAAAAGATTGTTGGCGTGGAATTAAGCGCCAGTAAAAAACAATTTAAATGGCCTGTGAATGACACCGAGAAGAAAGCAAAGGACAGTGAAGATGATGACAACGAAAGCAGTGACGAAATGTCCGCTTTACAAAAGATCTTTGTTGTTCACAGTGTACGTTCTCCCTCGAATTCGATGGCTCTTCCATTGGAATGAGTTTTCTCTTTACAGGCAGTGCTTGGTGTTGGAGCCAAAGCTGATCAACGAAATTTAGTTCATTTAACAATCAAAGATACGTCTGGTGATAAAGTTATTCTCGATCAGCCCATTCTTTCTTTGTCAGTTAACAAAAACGATTCGGTAGGAGAATGTGTTTGTCGAAATGCTATCTATTTGTAAGATTAAACTAGATCTCAGCGTTTAATCTTCGTGTTTCACTCAGTGAGACAACTGAAGTGACATTTAAACTAGTCGAAGGCGATGGACCAGTTCATTTAATAACTTCGAAAATACTTGGTAAGAGATCGATATCATTCCGAAATGAAAACAAAAAAATCATGTGTTTTTTGAAAAAGAACCTCCATTCGATTTCGGTGGTTATTCATCGGATGATGATGAAGATCAATTTGATAATATGAGTGTAACAAGCGATGAAGATGTTCCTCAAAATGCTGGTGATCGAAAAGTACAACTGAATTTAACAGAAAAATCATCGAAAAAATCCAAAAAACATGCAGCAGGATCAGCAAATAGTCATGCAAACAATAACAGTTCAGCTGAAGCACAACAACAGAAGAAAAAACGAAAGAAAGATGAATAAAACATCGTGGGTTTTTTTCCGAGCAGATAAAAGAACACACACACACAGAGAAGAAAAAGAAAAGAGCATTTTGTTGTTATTCGTTCATTTGTTATTATTTGCATTGCTTCTTTTCTTTTTGTCATTGACTTTACATGTGAATGATTACAACTCAATATGAAATAGATAAAAAGACGAGAGAAAAAAAAAACGAAGACAAGTCATCATTATTTTCATTGTAAATTACCAAACAGTACATTTATTAGTTCGACTATTACCTTGTCCTGGTCTACAGCGAAACACTCGATCAAACGCTTCAAAGTTCGACGTTGTACCGAGTACTCTAGAATAGATGAGTCAGTCAAAATTTTAATCATTAAAATCATGTACGAGATTACCGAAATTGACCTGGAGAATGATAACCAGTTAAAATGCGACTCATCGCGTATGAATCTGTCGTTTTTGCACACCATACTTGTGCATAATTAATAAAAAACATTTGTTCAGCTGAGTATTTTGTTAAACCTGGTAATTTTTTATCTGCATATCGATTTTTTCGAGCCCATTTTTGATAAGCCTACAAGTCATTCATACAAAACTGTTTCTCACTGGAAAATACTTACATAGAATGCTTCTTTGATTCCTCCATTATCGGCTATGTTTTCTCCTTGAGTTTGATTACCATTGATCTACGATAGATTTGACTTCTAACATAGAATCAATCTGATTACACTTACAGTTGTATTAATTTGTTCGAGAACGTATTCACTATATTGATCGACAATACATTTTTTACGCTTATTAAATCGATCGATCGTATCAGGTGTCCACCAGAGTATTCGATTTCCATCCTTATCAAATTGACGACCATTATCGTCAAAACCATGTGTGATTTCATGGCCAATAACTGCACCAATTCCTAAATAGCATCGTTTCGTTTCGTTTTCTTCATTTCTACAACTTTGACATACCTCCATAGTTCAAATACCTGTTCAGTAAGTAAACATATAATTTTTAGATCGACAAATGAAATGAATTACTTACTTTGGTGCATCTTTATCAAAAAATGGGGATTGAAGTATACCAGCTGGAAAAGCTGAAACGAAAATTCGGTTTATTCAAAAGAGAGAAGGCTGATTCCATATTTACTTATTTGATTTTTCGAGGGAGTATAAAACGCATTGACTATGGTTGGCGCATTTGGACCCCATGCCTTACGATCGATAGGTGCGCGAAGTAATTTGAAGTTTTCTTTTGCTTTTAGTTTCAGTACAGTGAGAACGTTGTGAATGTAGGATGCATTGAAATCGTACTAAAATCAGCGCTTTGCTTTTCTATTCTTTGTTAATGCTTAGTCTTACTCCAGTATAAGTTTCCTCTAGTTCTGTGATATTATCACTGCCTAAAAATTCGGGATAGCCGATCTTTTCATCAATGTTCAGTGCCTAGAAGAATACGATAGAATGAATTCTTTTGATCGAGCTAAATTCATTGTTGATCTACCTTATCAATGGCTTTACGTTTCGAAACAGCATCCATCCATGTTGATTCATTCAGCATCTTAATAAACGCACTTCGAATATCGCTAATCATTTCCAATGACTAATTGTTAAAGAAATAGAATCCATGATATCAATTACCATCCATTCCTCACCTGATTTCGTGCATTTTCATCAAAATGTTTCTTGATATACAGTTTTGCTACTGCAAAACCCATGTGAGTATTGACGTATACTCCGCATGTTATCGAACGTGGACGTTCAGCTGTAGTACCACGAATGACTCGATCGAATTGCTCTCGTATCGCTCGATAACGTTTGGGCATGTTTCCTGCTCGATTCATCATAAATCGCCAAATGAAATAGTTTTGCAATACGCGTGGTGATTGTTGAGAAATGATCAACGAAACACTACGCAGATACTCTACTTCACTGATCGAAACATTATCATGATCGTGTAGTGTAACATTAGCTAATAGATAATTTTGACGAATATTATTGGCAAAGTCAAACTAAAATTCAATGAAATAAAAGCAATTGATAATCGACAAGACTTACAGTGGTGTTAATGACTCGTGAAAGGTTGCCAATGGTCGTGCGAACAGTTTCGTTTTGTCTTGCTCGTTGTTCAGCAAGTGTCCAATGAAACTAAGAAGAAACATCCAGATTTTAACATCTTTAATTGATAGGAAACGAAGTCAATTACGTTGGCTATCTTTTTTTCGAATTCATATATATCTCGAACATCATCTTCGATTGTTGTGCTGTCGTTCGACAAAGCTAATGCTAAATCATTGATGAATTGTCGATATGCTCGAGTTGCTTGGGATTCATTTAAATAATATTGACGTTGTTCAAGACCAAGTTCACTTTGCCCAACCTGAAAGACGAACATTTCTAAAAATCCGATTAGATCGTGAGATGACATACTCGAATGTAATAAGCTGAAGAATTCTTATCGTCTGTTGATGTTACACAAATAAAGATAATGTTATTATTGTATTCACGTAGCTTAACTAATAGATGAGATAGATTAAATTGAGTTTCATTCCATGATGAACCTTGCAGAATTGGCCAACCGCCAAGTTCATGATCAATGATCGATAGAACGGTATCGACACCAGCTGATTCAATAGCAGCCTCGTTGGCACACGACGAATATAGACGACGAGCATTAGTGATAGCTTTAATATGAATTGTATCATTGGGTAATGGCGATGTTAAGATATCTTGAAAACAAAATTCGATGATAAGCAGACTGCGTTCTTCAATATCGATGGATTCTTATCTTACCGACGACATTATTCTCTAATTGAGTTCGTAGCACATAGAAAGTATCTTGAGAGCCGGCTACGAAGATTTCATTGACGTGTTGATCAAAATAAACAATAACTTTCGCACTTACCATCATCAGGTATTCGATTGTTCCTAAGCCAAGTCCCGCATGAAAATTGATAAAAATTCTCACACGGTTCAATCGTCTCATCGATACTTTCCAATAAGTAATTAGCTAAACGAAAATAATCAGCATGCAATTCGATTATTGTTCTTGCTACAAACCTGCTTTGATACAAAACGGTGTTAAACATACATCATTTTCAACTAAAATTTGCATAAAATCGTCACAAATCCATCACTGCATATACGAAACTGTTACCTGGTACTGGTTGATTGCTTTTCGCTTTTTCAATGGCGAGCAAAACTGTTAATAGAATAGTTAAGAAAAGGAACAAAACAGTAAGTACACCGAATAAGATTAGAACATTTTTCTTCACTGAAGATACAACAGGTATTGGATCGCTGCAAGGAAATAAGGGATTTAATGTATGATATTCTTCTTGCGTGTCTGCCACTTTGGTTTAAATTAATAGAAATAGTTTATATTATACATACATAAATAAAAACAAAACAAGTTAAAAGAATCTTCATGTTTTATGAATGAAGAATATTCTTTTATTTGACAGACAAGATTCCCTTATGATCTGATGTTAATACTTACTCATCTAAACGATAAGGCTCAAAACAAAACCCCACAGGCATTACGAATTACACTCGAAATTGCGATAATAATATCCATTGCGATCTAATATGCCGCTTCGATTATCTTCTTTCTTTTCTCTTACTCATCGTGCTTACATGTAAATAATCTCTGACATAGTTTTCCCCTGTCTATTACAATCAAAAATGTTATATGCGTATCGTTGCTCTCGACAATGCCTACGATTTTCTTCCAAAACTTGATCTCTCTCAGAACTACGAAGAAGGAGTGTGAAGTGATAAGAACACGTCTATTGTTATTGTTTTTTTTCCAATTATTGCCGATCAAATTTCGGGCTCCACGCATTTTTTTCTCTACCTTACTCATGTGATCTACTACTAACCGAATAAGAAACGCGTCAGAAATTTTTTCCTTCTTCGATTTGAAAAAAAAATGTATAACAGGCTTCTGTTTTTAATCACATACTTTGCGTATTTATTCAGCATTTCTTGTTAAGTCTTTGCTATCGATGACGAAAATACAGCGTTGATTTGTTTTTGTGCTCAAACTCCTTCTATTCAATGTTGATCAGTTCAATTTATCACCTCTCTTCTCTCTCATGTGTTGTCATTATATAACATAATTCCTTTAACATTTTCTTTTGGTTATAATCCACTGATTCATCATGTCGAAAATGATCTTTTCCTACTAAACAACTACAAGACATGATGAAATTGATGAGGATTGAGAGAAAAGTCTTTCGTATATGCATCGAACATTTAATAAATTGTATCAAATAACGATAACATTTGATGAAAAATAGACTTAATGATCAAAATAACAATAGTTGGATCAAATTTCATCAAGGAAAAGTCATTGTTACTAAAAATATTGAAGAGACAAGCATACAGGATATTTGACTTGAAAAAAAAAAATCATTTTCCTTTACATCATCAACGAGTTTCTCGTTTGAACTAAGGTACAAAGTAGTCGATTTCATGACACGTGGGATGAGAAGAATATGAAATCTTCCTCATTAATCAACGGATACGACAACATGAATTAATCAGACTTCGAAGTAGACAGATGCCTAGTATTTCTAGGACGATGCTGACGAATGTGTCGAAGGACGTTCGCTTCCGTTGAAAAGGAAAACTGAATTTGATGAGAGCAGCTGGAAGGAAAGTCTTTGGACATCATCAACATGAAATTAAGTGTATTCAAATATCCAAAAAGGATTTCAGTAGAAATCAGTTTCAACTGATGAATCCGTTGATGAAATTTACAGTTTTACGTGGAAATTTCTTCGGGGATTAACACAATGCTAGGCTTGGCGTCAATGAAGTTCACGCTTATGATTTGTTCTGTTGACATTCTCTTTAGCAACTATACCGAAGGAAATATTTGAATAAGTTTTAACAAAGATTTTCTCAATGTAGGTAGACGTACCATATTCTTTAATTAACAACAGAATAGTCTATGACGTACAATTATTAATGAAGTGAAAATGACGGTGAAGGAGAGGAGACAATATTCTGTAAGAAAACTTTGTTCTCAAATTGTAAACTTATATTAAGATTAGGATAAAAATAGATCTCTATAGACGTGAGTATCGTCTTTGAATGGACACATTGATCTTTATACCTAAATCTGCACACCTACGCATAAAAATTCGTTGCAAAGAAGTGCTCACAATCTCAGTTGCAGATATGCGAGTGGATTAGGAAAATCAACTGTCAGGATCAGACAAAGAATTTTGTCTTTAGTTGAAGAGGACTCGGTTGGAGAAAGACGACGATTTCAACGATAAAAATTGGCTTTTGTATTTATTTATTTGAATAGACGACTAAAAGGAATCTTGTGCGATGAATGCGAAAGAAACAAAAACTATCGCTGTTCTTTTCGTATTTTCAAATCTCTTCATTTTTTTTCAGCATTTCTTTCTTGTGTACTAATCATCAGATTGAGACAACAAACAATTTGTTCGATTTAACCAAAACAATTGACAGCATGAAAGAAACAAAGCATGCGTTTATTGGATTGACTTGGTTGACGAGAATCACGTTTGAACGAGTCGAAACGTGATACTGAGTTGCGATTAACATGTGCCATTGCTCTGCTATCAGCGAATACAATGTCATTGGGTAACGATCTTTCTTGATAATGAATCTAGAAAAGTAAAACAATGATGAAGTCAATCTTAAGCGAAACCTGTATGTTTACTGGATAATGTTGACGAAGGTATTCATGAAAAGGTATGACTTGCTCGTTCAATTGCGATGATCCGTATGTGAAGGAGATATTTGATTGACATAGAGTTAAAATCATGATACAATATGCCAAGAAGATAAGCGAAAAGTTTGCCATGTAGAGTCGAAGAGAAGTTGATATTTCGAAATGAATCGGTGTTCTTCACAACAATGGGAGAAGATTTCTTTGATATTGATGATAAAACATAAGAATGTTCGTTTATATTTGATATTCACAAAAGGAAAAAGAAAGAAAAACCGGTAATTGAGATGGCGAGACTTCTCTCTTCTTTATTTTTCTCTACTTCTTCTTCTTCTTCTCCCTCTACTTTTTTTCTTTGTCTATCCAAGATTATTTATAGGGATCACAATAAATATTCAATAAAATAGAATTATTTATCAAGTGAATATTCATATTAATAAATCTGCGCATCCTTGGTGATTTACACTTTCATCTCTACTTCTCTATTAAGTTAATTCAAATGAATTCTCCTAATATACATACTCTTCCAAATGCTATAAATAGTCAATATGCCATAGAAAGCAAATTTGAATCCCACCATTCTCTGACCTGATTAATTGTTCGAGCAAAGTTTTTCTGTAGGGGAAGTTTAGCGGAAAATTAAGTTTTCATTGTGCATTCCACCTCGAATTCGATGGTTTCCTGTGAAAAATTATTGTAACAAGCGATTTCATTGTGTTTTTGGATTTATAAAAGTGTTTGTACTTCTATACAACCATTGATTATTCATACATGTGAATATTCATTCAAAGAGCATAGAAGTCAATTAAATGATATTAATATCTAATTCATATCGTGCGTCGGATTTTTTTCAAGTATAATATCCATGATTTATTACAGAGAAGATTTCAACGCACGGAAAAACGTTAGTTTGAATGGAAAAATATAATCGAGAAAAGTTAGCTTGTTCTGTGTGAGATGTGAGGGCAGCTGTGTTAGTAAATGACTTTATAATTAGTTAGACGAAATTTTCCTTTTCCGGAAGATCTTCTCGTTAATCTGCAGATGTGCACAATTCATTCACCTCAGTCGAAGAGATACTTAAGGACGTGATGGGAGCGAGAATTACAGGTTTTATGTTCAAATCTATAAATAGAAGGATAAACTTCTGTCAAGTATTACTTAAAACAGGAAAAAACAAGGAATTAATAGAGTGAATTTGTTTTGTATTACACATAAATGTACTTGATTGAAGTTATAAATCTTACAGTTTCGAAGGTCAAGCATACATTTATATGATTTCTAATGAATGCGTATTTTTGACAACATATCTATCGGCCTTTCTTCTCTTAGGAATTAATAGGCACGCTTGATTATATATATGACACCATGTGTCAATATATGCTTGAGTAATTACAGTTTGAATCGATTTTGTGTGAGGAGAAATGTTGTAGGTTCTTGATATCTGTGAAATTCATGAACATATCCTTGATATGTGTCTCATCTTGTGTTGATTATTGCTTCGTACGAGTACACTTGGCAAGGCTGAGAGGTCTATGAAAACTAACAATCGGTACATTCAACTATTTTCCATATATCGAATATCACTTCTCATGGTTTCTCGAGTTCAAAATGTAACTGACACAGTTCTTTTTTAAGGTCGTCGCAGCAAATTTCGACAATATTAAATACACCTCGTAGTGTTAGTTCCGGAAGGAGCGAGTAATCTTGTCAGATGTTCTGACCTTTCTCGAATTGACTTGAACGGCGGATGCAGAAAAGTTCACGCGGGCATTTCATCTTTCATTATAACCCACGAACTATTTATTGTCTGAGAGTAGAAGAACAGGTGTACTACGCACTTCCGTTGACATTCTCGTAGAACTTTCATAGTAAACATTTATCGAAAGGAACGAGATTTCAAAACGCGAAACTTCTTTTCATCGTTAATGCAACATAATTCGATACAGTATATATATATCGTGTATCATCGAACGAGATTAGACAGGTTTTACTTCAGATTATCACCTTATGATCATTCTTTTGTCTAGAACATATTTCGTAGACAAGAAACTTGATGACATACATGAAAATAATCATGTTCCGGCTAAATTAAGTATTTATTTACCCGTATTGAACGACTATTGTCTTTTAGAATGGTTTTATTTGCCAATTTACTAAACACATGTTTTGACATGTCGAGAGAAGACAAGTTCATTTTCAAGGTTAGAAAACTAACGTTCACGTCGAATCGATCGTTTCTCGAATTTTATCGTCATTCTTTTGTTCGTACGGCACGATATTTACCCACTGTTAAATTTTAATCACGTGAAATCAACACAGCTAGTCTCGGCAAGAGCGGAAAACGTTCATGGCTAAATTTTCTACTGATTTGTCTTTTATTTTTCATATCACTCATAAATTTTAATCCACTAAACAAAACAAACAAATAAATATGTCCCATCATTGCAAAACAAAAAGAAAAACAAACTGAACAGGAGTGTGGATTGCTTACAAACATGCATAACGAAAACACACCGGCCTTCTTTTGCGAAATGCACAAAAGAAGAAGATAAGAAATCAAAAAAACAACAAACTCTGGTCGATATTTTTGAATGTATTTATGCTAGCTTTTTTTGTCTCTCGGTATGTAACTAGAAAAACAAATAGTACTTCGCGCAATTGCATCTTCGGCTATCATTGAAACGTGACATAGTTATTTGTTTTGAAGATAAAACAAGATAAGTTACATAACCCAAGAAGAAAACAAACTAAACAAAAGGATAAAAAAAAATGGAAGGTTCTGATGTTGCAAGAAAAAACAAAACAAAACAAAAAACTGCAATTGAGTAAACGTTGTTGAAAGTAGAAACGAATCAATTAGAGAAGAAGTAGTTTATAGGAGGTTACGGGAAATCGATAGATGAACATAAGAGTGTAATCATTTTCTCTGAGTAGATATGTACAACAACATCGAAGAGGAGAACAACATGAAGAGCGAAGAAAAACAAGAAAATAGATCACTTGTTTTTGTCTATATCAACAGCAGCAATATCTTGTTCATCGTCCCAATCTTCGCTGTCGCTTCGTTCGTCTTTTTTCACCTAGAATTCAAAAATAGAATGTATGAAATTTATTATAGACATTAGTAATCCTTATTCTTATTCTAATTATTCGAACGATTGATTCAGTCCTATCAAATTTCGATGACAACAAAGAAAGAAAGAAAAATCAAAGCAAATATAGACACAAACACACTCTTCTAACCAAACAGAAAAAGTACACATATATGCACACACTTCGTCTCTCTTTTCGGATCCTATCGATGGATTGAAATGCAAGCTGACTAGTTCGTTTCTACTTTATTTTTTTCTAATTCAAGATGAGAAAGATGAAATTAACTATACTTTGCCGGCTTTGAAAGCTGAAATGGCGACTCGACAAATTAAATAGAACCAGAAATAGTGAAGAATTTGAAGCAATATTAGAAGTCCATTAAAAACGTAATAAGCAGGAAATGAGCCGAGAATCATCATCTCTTCAAATGTCGACGTATACAATACTCTAAAATTGAAAAGAAATCCAAGACGGAGATATTGTTCGCAGAGAAATCTGATCGATGCGTTTCTTACTTATATGGATAATAACAGAGACGTGTTATAAACCAAACAACAGCAAATATCACGAACATTGTATCACAGAGTCGTTGTGCTCGCGCGTATTTGGCCATTTTTGCAAACTACACGCAAAGCGATTCGATCAAAGGAAATTTTCGCGAAGAAAAATTTCTCGGTTACCTCAAGCCAATAGTCTCCGCAGTCATGTACTACGAGTACTAACGTTCCTACACGTACAAAATTGACGATGTAAGAAAACGAAAGTAAACATATCGTTGCGATATGATGAATAAACATTTGCCAAAAATCTTTTCGTTTAACATCGATAAATTGAGAAAAGACTAATGACCAATAGAATGCTAATTCTATCATATAATACCAATAAACATCGGATGTTAATGAATGATTGGGATAGTTTAACCAACAATGACGTGTATCCCATAACCAAATTTTCTGAAAGATCAAAGACAAACGAATGCTTACTTTGACAGAATGACATTTTTCTTACATTATTTAAAATGAAAGCACCATATAAAAATATACTAAGATAAAAAGTAAAACGCCAGGTTGATTCACTAAATTTACCTAATGGACCAATGCGTGTCGATCGTTTCACTTGTTTATTATCTGATAATTTATGATGATTCGATAATTTGTGAATAGTTGATCGCGAATCTTCTATTCGAAGAAGTCGACCAAGTGGTTGAGAAATGTAACGCTCGAATAGAACGCGCGTTAAATAAAGTAAACCAGCTAATGGATACACATAAACAAGATCATGAATGCGGGGTATCCGAACCCCGCTGTTCTCCAATTGATTAAAATCGTTCCATGTTGTATTTTTCGGCAACCAAAAATCTTCGCTCCAAATTGTTATGTTCATGTTTTTTTTCGTCTTTCTACCAATTGAATATCATTACACACTCCAAATGTATATATATATATAAAGGTTCTTTTTAAATCATGATCTAAATCAAATTAATGTTTCAATATTTGCCACTTGTCAATACATACACACATACATACACACAAGTATATCTAACATACAAAAAAAACGAGTTAAGACATATAGACAAGAAGATGAAAACTGTTTATTTATTTATTTAGTCTTCCCTCTCTTCTTTTCTCCACTTTTTTCTATCTATTCTCAGTTTGCTGTTGCATTGTGTTGCCTTGCTTGCCTACTTGCTGGATGGCTGGCGTGCTGGCGTTTTTTCTTCTTCTTCTCCTTCCTCTTCTCCTCGTTCTTCGACAGACATCGTCTATCTTCAATGACGAATCGAAGAAGATTTTTCGAGGGCGCTAGTTGTCATGCTTTTTTCAGAGGCAAACGTGTGATGTTCCTTATTTAACAGTTGAGTACATTCAGATGATTTACAGAAATCATCCGACCACAAACCCGTGCACATACGATTTTGTTTCTTGAAATAATATTGACCGTAACCATGTTTCTTATCTTCAAACCAATGACTGCGACAAGATCATTAGTAGAAGCATGATATCATTGTTGTAAATAAAATATTTACCCATTATAACAATCACCGCGAACTAAAACAACTGTGTATTAAATAATTGATTTTTTCCCTCTTGTTTGTTTGTTTACTCGTGAGAAGTCGGCCAGAACCATGACGTTGATTATTGAACCAATCGCCTTCACTAAATGTAGAGGAAGAACTTGTTCTTTCTCTTTTTGTGATTAATTTCGTTGTTGATTTCACGATGTGTCAGTTCATCTTCATCTTTCGACTAATGATCTATCTCCGATATCTTTATCAGTAGAATATTCTCTTCTTTCATTCCCATATCTGTATCAGATTGCATCTACACACATATGAAGCGTATCTACATGTTGATATTCGAGTGTTCTTTTTCAATTTTACCCCGGATGACAACTAAAATAAGGCGTAGTCAGTCAAGTAGAATCGTGTGGACTGTGTCGATCAAGTCAATTATAATGCTCCTTCCGTATCTTTCTCGATCGACTAACCAAGAATACTATTCACAGAAGTGATGAAAGAGAAAACGTCTTTCCTAATGAATAAAGTAAATTAGTATACGAGCAGCTTAACACATAAAAATTGAATTACTCCATACGGCTAACAAACTTTCATATGTATATATATATATGTCGTCGGATTCAGTCGTTTACAGTTACATACAAACCACATCTATCAACTTCTGAGTAGACAAGTAAATTGATACATGTTAGCAATTATCGCAGATGCTAGGCTTAAGTATCGATATGCTGTTCGTTTCTTGACTGTTAAACTGCGATTGTGAACAAGAGTAAATCGTGCTTACTACACATCTCCATTGTCATAATGCATTCGGCCCCATCCACATCGTTGATTTCGATAAAATTCTCCCTCATAATATCTTGTTTCGCTGAAATACAATGTTCCGTAACCATTCATTTGATCATTTTCCCATTGACCGACATAATACCGTTGCATTGTTCCGTTTTGCAATCGAATTGTTAATCGTCCTTGTCCATGTTTTCGATTTCGTACAAATTCGCCTTCATAAAACGAACCGTTTTTGTGATTGATCAATTTCCCGTAGCCATGTTTCTGATCATTTAACCATTCTCCACGATACGAATGCGAATCATTTAAAAATATATTCGCATACAAGCCATTTTTTCCATCGACTTGATTCGATCGACAAGTTTTTCTTCGACAATGACGAAAAGGCATTTAAACTATTTTGTTTTTGTAGATCAATGGCGGGTACATTAGTTTTAGGTAAAAGTGCATTTAAACTACTTGATGAAATCGGTTCAGGCACATATGCAAAAGTTTACAAAGCAATCGATTATCAACATCAACGAGAAGTTGCTATTAAATGCATGCTACTCGACAGCGAACGCTACGGTCTTCTTTGTGTTGTCATACGTGAAATAAACCTTCTTCTTGAACTAAAACATCCGAATATCGTTCATCTTTATGATATTATTCGACGTGATAATGAGATTTATCTCATATTTGAGTACATGAACATCGATTTGTACCAGTACATGTTACGTCATCCACGACCATTAAGTGACATTCAAGCAAAAGTGTATTTCTATCAATTATTGAACGGTTTAGATTTTTGTCATACAAATAAAAGTAGGTGTTACAAATGAGATATTAATTGTTTTCTCACTTGTTACTTTTCTTTTCGATAGTTTTCCATCGAGACCTGAAGTAAGTCAATAATCATTAGATGAAAAGGAATAATTGAGAATATTGCATGCTTTCGACAAGAAGAAAATGATAATGAAAAAAATTTACTTGTCGAAGGTGAAATTTCCCTATGGAAAGTAGCGTGTACAAAAAAAAGCGGATAATTTATTGAATGGAAAAGAAACGATATGATGTTCTGTTCGTTTCAGACCGCAAAACTTGTTGCTAGACACAAATGGTACATTGAAAATCGCGGATTTTGGATTAGCAAGAGACGCAACGATACCAAATCGTGCTTATTCCAAAGATATTGTAACCTTATGGTACCGTCCACCAGAAATCTTATTAGGAAGCGATGTTTATTCAAGTGCTGTTGATATCTGTAAGTTTTATACAGTTTTATGAATTGTATCGTATTGGTATTGGATAATTTAGGGAGTGCTGGTTGTATATTTGCGGAAATGTTACGTACCGCTCCACTGTTCAAAGGCGATTGTGAAATTTCACAATTGTTCTGTATTTTTCATGTTTTAGGTAAGTTTCCATGGTTTGGATACTTCACTTGAGTCGAAAGTTTCGTTACAGGAACACCGAACGAAAAACTATGGCCTGGTGTGACACTATTACCACATTATACATGTGATTTTCCTCAATGGCAACCGACTTGTTCGCTTGGGAAATACCTTCAATTAACAAATCATCAAGCTGTCGATATTCTCTCACGTTGTTTAATCTATCCGTCTGAACAACGTTTGACCGCTAAACAAGCTCTACAACATTCATATTTTGTTCAAGAAGACGAATCAACGTCTTGAAAAACCAAATCTGTGATATCTCTGTGTGTTTTTTTGTTTCGAAAACAAAAGAAACAATTGTGTTAATGTCATATGCATAGAAATACGAAATAATCTCGTTTTCGAACAAATGAGTTTTATTCATTTGAACAGCAAAGTAATTTTGTTGTACCGCTGTACATAATCGTTAAGAGAAACGTCAGCACAATACTAATCCAGAGAGTACCACATGAATGATTGTAACATAGATGTTTGTTATTCTTTTCCAAACAAAAAATGAAGGCAATGATCGAGAAAACGCAACATACTAATGCCAATAAACTCATACAAGTATAAAATACAATATGAAATATTGGTTTGCGTTGTGGAATTTCAGTTGTATAGATTGCCAAGAGCAGATAATAGATATCTGTGACTGTCATGAGTAGAATCAATGTGAAATAGATGATTGAAGTGATATAATCGAAACCAAAAACGAATCCATAATAGCATGAGCCAAATATATACATTGAAATGAAAACTGCGAGTTCGAGAATGATCCGAATGATGTGAACTACACCAAACCGATCGCAAGGGAACATGTTTTTTTTTTAGAAAAACAAAATCAAAGTTTAGTTTCTTATTGAACGAGAAAAAACGAAATTTGATACTTGACAATTTCGTTGGGAGATATATAGAATATTTCACGTAGAAATGACGCGCGTTGAATTCAATACAAAATCATCCGATCTTGTACACCAAGGCACACCCATGATAAAAAATGTATTTGCCTTTTCATAACGATGTGACATATAGTTCACTTGCCAGCTTAGTTTTTCAAGGATGTACGGTACGAGAGAACATTCGGCTTTATTTGGAGTACACAGTGAGTAATTAAAAATGAAGATCTTTGAACTGTTAAATAACTAGACGGAAATGATTAAGACGAGTTTTAATTGTCTGTGCTTGACCTCGACAATTTAATGAATAATCCATTGAAGAGTCACAGTTATCCTTGATGTTCATTCTTAAATTAAACATTATCAACAATGTTTCAAATATGAAAAGGCTTTTCCAAGCATGAAGGCCTTCATTTCTAAAAGTAAAAGGACTTTTGTGTGCTCGTGACTTTTTCTTTCTTTCAGACAAGATTATGAAACAGGGCAAAACATTCGTTTCAATCTATCCTTTATTGTTATTGAATTTCAAAAAGAAAAAAAACTAATATATATCTAAGACATTCGTCTTCGTATTCCTTGAAAATCACGCACACAAAGAAGAAGATAAAGAAAAAAAAAACGAAATGAAACAACCGGGCTACTATTATAATTTATAATACAAAGTCGATTTTGAACATTTAATTGATTTGTAAGTAATTGTTTGTTTCAGTTGTTGTGGTCGCGATTAGTTTTTGTTGTTTTTGACATAATGAGTGATTTATTTGAAAAAACGATGGTCGATCATAGTCACATTTCTGCCAACATGATGTAATTAATTCTATTAAGTCTGCTGCGTAGGTTGGTATCGGTAAACAATGTTCCGAGTTATGTAAATTCGAAAGAACTTGATCGTCATCTAATAAACTATGAGGTCGTTCAGCCATTGTTAAAATCTCCCATAAAAGAACACCAAATGAGAAAACATCAGATTTCGATGTAAATCGATTCTAAAGAAAGACAAACAACAAAAGGAAGTATATCGATTTCAATTCTAAAGATGAATTTCTTTCTCTTACCAAACAAATCGTTTCCCATGCACACCAACGAATCGGTCGACGAGTTTGAATTTCATTACCGATTGGTACTAAGACATAATCATCCACATACGTTTCATTACACATAGCCAAATCTTGTAATTTTATAGTTAAATCAAGTGTTACTAGACAATTTCGTGCAGCGATATCGCGATGACAGATATGTAATGATTCTAAATATGATAAGGCAGAGGAGATTTGTGAGCCAAAGAAAACTGCCGTTGCATAGAGACTATCGTTCATTTGTTCTTCCTGTTTATAATGATGTAAATATTGATAAAGATCAATACTGGTGGAATCCAGACATTCAGTTATGAGAGACATCGTTGGTTCGGAACAATAGCCATAGGCATGAATGATATTCGGATGGCAAAGAGAAGTTAAAAGACTGATTTCGTTGAAAAAAGAAATTCTACGAAAGAAAAGAATATAACCATTGATATAAGTGAGTTGAACAGATTAGTACTTACTTAGACGGAACTGATGCATTGGGAAGAAGACGTCGGATTGTGATTGGTACTACTGATTGATTTACTTGTAATTCACCTTGACAAATCTAGATAAACGAGAAGATTTACAATGAAAAGTGATCTTTTTTTTGTTAATGAACAGTGAATCGTACCTCTCCGCCACCAACAACCTGTTTTCGTGTTTCTAATTTTCGTTTAATATTAATCTGATGCATTGGTATAAATTGATTCTGATTCATATCGAATGTAAATAATCGTTGTGTCCAGTATGCACTATTCCCGCAGATACTTTCAATATGATTTTGTTGTAACAACGAAGGCGTACGTAATAATGTCGTTGTAGGCATTAGTTTGGCATAATGCGGTGATGGTGCAGAAGTAATACTACCACTTGTACAGAGTAGGTAAGGATGAGCAGGTCCTATTGTTGCATAACGATGCTGACTGGAATTGAAATCAATATCACTTGATGTTGTTGATGCTGATGAATTCGTGTGATTATGTATGGGCGTAAAATAATGCTTCTTGATCTTTTTATGATCGTTTAATGTTCGTTGAATAAGTATAATAATTGCTCCTAACATCAAAACAATGCCCATTGTTGCTAAACATACGATAATATATATCCAAAAACTGTATGTTTCTTTTTGTGTTTGTTGTTGAATCATAGGCTTGATTGGGTTAGGTAGTGTTGTCGATGCGGGTGTCGGAATCGGTACAACAAATGAATCGAATGTAACTTCGCTAATCAATAACCAATTTCCATCAAAGTACAAGCGAAGTCTCAGTTGTGATGCAATATGATTCTTTAAATCAATCATTACTGCTCGTGCCATTTCGAATTGATCATCATGTTGGTTATAATACGTAATCGACGTGAAATTTTGTTTTTGTACATTGTCGTTATCGACAAATTCAATGGTAGCCGAACGGAAAACAAAGATATTCTTCGGATAATAATTATTAGCATGAATTGTCATACGAGAAAAGTTTCGTAAAGTATCGAAATTGAATAAGATGCTTATAGAATGATTATGTTTGATTGAACGAGGTCGTCGCCAGCCAACCTTAAAATAACAATATGTCAAATTATATTGCACGAATAAAATTCTAGTCTAGAAGTGATAACTAGCTTATAATCCGATCAGTAAGATGATTGTCTAGGACATCGATTCATCACACCTGTCGACTTTTAAACTAATGTAGATTCAACTTATGATAACTCAATTCTATTACATATTAACATAAAATTGATATACGTAATGTGTCATTATATGCACTCTTTCTCAATCAGATGATTCAATTCGATAATAATATATATATATATATATATATATATATCCAACAAAAGACTTTTCTTCCTATCTGATGCATTGACAAGCGTACATAGGAGTTGAATAGTAAATCTTAACTTGATAAAACTATATAATATATATCATTGACAGAGAGTGACGTTCGAATCTTATCTCGTATATGAAGGAAATGATACATCTATATGAATCTTATCATTACAATGCATCGATGAACTAACGAAACCGTTTGTCATTATCAATCAAAAAATCTTCTTACCCATTGAAATCCGCGAGGATCTTCACGATTATCCGGACCTGTTTGACCATCGGATAGCTGTCCAAGACCATCTACAAAACAAAAAAAATGAATGTCAAATCATCATGACAAGAAAAAATTGCAATCGTTACCATGTAAATAACGTTGTTTTTCATCGTATTGTCCATCGTACGTATCGTCTTCGAGTTGATTCGCACCTTGTAACATACTGTACGACACAACACCATCAGTAAAAATACATCCGAATAACTCAAAGTGAATGCATAACGATGTTTCCATATGTTTAATACTTAATCGAACATGTTTAGCGATCATCGGTGGATCGAGCAGAATCTGGTCTTGATGTGTATTCAATAAGCGATACGAACGCCAAACGGTATATTGATCAATTAGATTATCACGTGTGTATTCAAGATGATAATTAATATTCGTGAGAGTATTCGATTTGATTTCGAGAGATGTTATATAAGTTAAATTTGCTAACGTTACATGAAGATAAGGTTTAACATCTGTTGACAATGGACACCAATTTGATAATTGATTCAGATTGCTACTAGTTGTGATTTTCGAGTTTGTAAGAAGTGGAGTTTGACAAGAAGCAGTACCTTCTACAGGAGAAATATCAGAAGATGGAAATCGAATGAGAAGCTTTCAATCAACACTTACTTAATTCCATTGAATGAATAAGGATTCCATTGTATAATACGAGTAGCAATAAGACTACCCTCATCTCAAATGTGTGGCAAACGAATTGAAAAGGAAGAAATGCGTGTATATATCTGAAACATGTTGATATATATATATAAGAAGAGAGAACAGAGGAGAGAGCAATGAGAAAAGGAAGAAAACGTATGGGAAAGAAGAAAAAACAGAATCGATTGTCAATCTTGACAGGTGTTTGTTAGAGCGAGAAGAGAATCCAATAATGCGATGAAGATTTTATTTTGCCATTTATCACTGTCTATATCAAGTGTGAAATTTTGTTCATGCCTGTTTATATAAAAATATATAGATTTGTGACGATTGATGGCATCCTGATAACGATCCTTCCGTATGTGTTCAATGAGCATGAACAGCCTTGAAACACACGTATATAAATCGAATATAATTCTCGTCTGTTTACAACATTAGGTCAGACATCCCCATCCTCATCATCATCATTGCTCATAGATTTTGTCCTGCTGAGCGACGACGACGTGTTGATTAGATTTCGTTTTGAGAAGGAAGGGAAGCATGAATGATTAGACAAAAAAATATTTCAAGCAAGATGAGGAAGAGAAAATGAAAAGGAAAGGATATACAACTATTCACAAATGAAATTATGGCTTGTAAGGTGAACCTTATACGATTAAACATATATATTATGAGAAACAACTAGTTGTATTGCGCAAGGCTATTATAGCCCTGATAAATGATTTCTTCGATGTCCTGTGTATACATATGTGTGTGTGTGTGCATGTGTAGGCGCAAACGTAAGCGGAGAGATTAGAAGGATGATTTGGTGATGAAGAAGAAGAAGGAAAAGAAGACGAGAAAAGTATGTGTGTGCATATATATGTATTCTTTCTTGACGTCTTATTCAACGCACGGCTGATTCTTTGACCAACCGAAGTAGGCTTGGTCAATTTTATATGATAAGATTTAAAGATCGATAAAAGTCAAAAAAAAAACAGAAGGAAGAAGAAGAAGAAGAAAGACAAACGAAATGTTTATCTTTTCTAATAAACATACATGTCAAACGAAGTGATTTCGTTGATTCATCTCAATCCACACTCTAATGAGATGTGTCCAATCTTTCTCATCACTAGATATACGCACACACACATGCACACATTATGCTCATTGATATTCTAGCAGGAACATACTCTTTAACTTCCTGCTTTTTCTTTAGCCGTCTATCAAATGATGGTGATGATGGTCATTGAATGAAAAAAAATAAATGAATGGCCTTGATGACCGACACACACACACACAAGTGTCGACAAGAGAGCATAGAATGATCGATGAGCCATCCCAAACGTTCTCTGACATGAGTGGCCTTTGCATGTTGACTGGCTATCGTCATAATTAGACCAAAAAAAACTTCTTCGGTGCTGACTGACCTTTCAGATTACTCACGCTTATCAAGGACATTGAAGAAAAGACCAAGATAATTGAACATTAGCTGTGCACCAACTGATGAGCGTTTTCTAAGCTTG